GGTGGACCTGCTCTCTCCGGAGCAGTCTCCCACCGCTCAAGGGGGCGCCCGTACGCTGCGCGGCGGGCCTGGGGCCCGTGCCCCTCCGCTCCCCTCGGCGCGCCCCGCCATTCGGCTGCGGCGGGCAGGCAGGCAGCGCGGCCGTGCGGGCCTCAGTCCACCCTCGTCTTTTTGATCACCAGCCTGTCGAATGGAGGGCGGGGAGACGGATCGACCTGACAATGCCGAGGGGGATGGGGGCCCGTCAGTGCAGGGCACGGGCGCCCAGTCACTGGTCGTGGTCGAGCAACCCCCAGATCAGGCTCAGTCCCCCCGCAGTCAGCAGACCCCCCTTCCCAGTGGGACAGATCTGGAAACTGCTCTCGTGGCGGCGGCGGCGCCCCCAGCAGAGGTACCTAGCCATCCTGGGGCAACCCTGACGCAGTGCCCTTCGGACACTTCGACGCGGGGGCGCCCCGTCTCAGCCCCCCCCCCAACCCCACCTCCGTTTCCGATCCCACCTCGATCCCTGCCCCCTCCACGCCTCCCTCCTCTCTCCGCCTCGGGGCCGTGCAAGACCCCTTGCCACCGATTGAAGTGGCCGTCCAACCCCCGGGGGCTGACGAGGGCGGCACAGTTGGGCCCCGAGGGACAGTGGTCGAGGTGAGCTCCAGCGAGCACTTGGAGGAGACGCAGCAGCACGCAGCAGCAGACCACGTTGTCCCCCCCCCCAGAGAGCAGGCACAGGCGCCTCCTCAGACAGGGGCGGACCACGCCCGCGAGGTGCAGGCGGGTGACGGAAGTGGGAGCAACCATCATCGAGCAGTGACTCTTGCGGCGGTTAGCTGCACCCCCAATGACAACGAAATGGTGAACCCAGCTGCAGCGAACGGCACCCCTGAGGTGCGAGCTGGCGACGGAGACCGATGCGACTACCAATATACTGTGACTCCTGCGGCGGTTAGCTGTGCCCCCGACGTCAACCGTAGAGCTATCCGAGTTGCAGCTAGTTGCCCCCCCGAGGTGCAAAGTGGCGTTGTAGACGGAGGCAGCCACCAACAAATAGCGACTCTTGCGGCGGTTAGCTGCACCCCAATTCACGACACAACGCAGGACCAGCGCATGCAAACACCGGTTTCGGCTGCCCCGAGGGACCTCGAGTCCTACGAGGGCGCCCACCGCGGAAGCACCCTGGACCAGGGGCACATCGCCCCAGGGGGGTCATTGTCCGCCCTCCCCCATTCCCCATTCAGCTTTCCCCCTGACTCGCTTCCGACCCCCCCCCGCTGCCGGGTGCCGACGAGACGCGCGTGCTCAGCGAGGGCCAGGACATCTCCCCCACTCCCTCTCCACCCTATCGGGGCCGACGATTCACAGCGGCCTTGGGGGGAAGTCGACTGGAAGTGGCTCCTCGAGGACCGTGAGTCCTGTGGAAGTACCCCCGACAGTGACGCGCGCAGCGCCGTGGGGGACCCTTGCGCGATCGGAGACGGTTCAGACTTCGCCGCCCGAGATCGACCGATCACCCCTCCCCCAGGCCTCCACTCGCCCCCGCCGCCAGGCTCAAGCCAGCACTGCCGAGAGGATCAAACGGACGACCCCGGGCACGGGCGACGTCGTCTCCGGAGATCGGACGGGGGGGGCCCGCCAGCAAGGCTGGCCCCCCCCAGCCTTCGCAGCGCCCCAGGGGCCAGCAGGTCCCAAAACGATCCACGGCGAAGCGAAAACCGCGACGCGGACACGCCCCCCCTGGCCCCAAGGGTCGCAGACCCGATGGGCACCAAGAGGGGTGGCACCTTCGCCGCCCTCGTGGCACACCACGAACCTCAGGCACGACCATGGAGAGACCTTCCCAGGCGCACCGCGCGCAGCCAAACGATGAAGAAGGGTCTCGAGTACCTCACTAGCTTCTATTGGCTCCGCCACCCCCCCTGGCACCCCGGTGTCCGCACTGAACTTCACCGCGTTGAGAGCGCCCCGAGCCCCCTTAGGGCTGCTCCGAGTCGGAGGGCCCAGCTAGAGCGAGACACCTCCTGCCGATACTATACCAGCGGCCCAGCCCTGGCTCAGCTCGACCTGTCCTGGCTCGCCTGGTCCATCACAGGGGCCGACTACGAGGCAAGGCTCGGAGGAGTGGGTCCAGATCCGGTCCAAGTGCTTGCCCTTCGCTAGTCAAGCCTGACCACCGACCCCGCCATGGAGGCGGAGAGGCTCTGGCGCAAAGCCTAGCACGCGTGGCACTTTCTCGACGCCACAGGGGGTGGGCAGGGGGTGGTCTCTGAGCTCGGCCGCTATCCACGACACTGGCGCAAAGGCTAGCAGGCGTGGCACTTTCTCGACACCGCAGGGGGTGCGGAGATCGTGGTCTCCCAGCTCGGCCGCTATCCGCGACACTGGCGCAAAGCCTAGCAGGCGTGGCACATTCTCGACACCACAGGGGGTGGGCAGGGGTTGGTCTCTCAGCTCGGCCGCTATCCACGACACTGTCGCACAGCCTAGTAAGCGTGGCACTTTCTCGACACCACAGGGGGTGCGCAGGGGGTGGTCTCTCAGCTCGGCCGCTATCCACGACACTGGCGCAAAGCCTAGCAGGCGTGGCACTTTCTCGACACCAAAGGGGGTGGGCAGGGGGTGGTCTCTCAGCTCGGCCGCTATCCACGACACTGGCGCAAAGCCTAGCAAGCGTGGCACTTTCTCGACACCACAGGGGGTGCGCAGGGGGTGGTCTCTCAGCTCGGCCGCTATCCACGACACTGGCGCAAAGCCTAGCAGGCGTGGCACTTTCTCGACACCACAGGGGGTGCGCAGGGGGTGGTCTCTCAGCTCGGCCGCTATCCACGACACTGGCGCAAAGCCTAGCAGGCGTGGCACTTTCTCGACACCACAGGGGGTGCGCAGGGGGTGGTCTCTCAGCTCGGCCGCTATCCACGACACTGGCGCAAAGCCTAGCAGGCGCGGCACTTCTCGACACCAAAGGGGGTGGGCAGGGGGTGGTCTCTCAGCTCGGCCGCTATCCACGACACTGGCGCAAAGCCTAGCAGGCGTGGCACTTTCTCGACACCACAGGGGGTGCGCAGGGGGTGGTCTCTCAGCTCGGCCGCTATCCACGACACTGGCGCAAAGGCTAGCAGGCGTGGCACTTTCTCGACACCACAGGGGGTGCGCAGGGGGTGGTCTCTCAGCTCGGCCGCTATCCACGACACTGGCGCAAAGCCTAGCAGGCGTGGCACTTTCTCGACACCACAGGGGGTGCGCAGGGGGTGGTCTCTCAGCTCGGCCGCTATCCACGACACTGGCGCAAAGCCTAGCAGGCGTGGCACTTTCTCGACACCACAGGGGGTGCGCAGGGGGTGGTCTCTCAGCTCGGCCGCTATCCACGACACTGGCGCAAAGCCTAGCAGGCGTGGCACTTTCTCGACACCACAGGGGGTGCGCAGGGGGTGGTCTCTCAGCTCGGCCGCTATCCACGACACTGGCGCAAAGCCTAGCAGCGTGGCACTTTCTCGACACCACAGGGGGTGCGCAGGGGGTGGTCTCTCAGCTCGGCCGCTATCCACGACACTGTCGCAAAGCCTAGCAGCCGTGGCACTTTCTCGACACCACAGGGGGTGCGCAGGGGGTGGTCTCTCAGCTCGGCCGCTATCCACGACACTGGCGCAAAGCCTAGCAGGCGCGGCACTCTCTCGACACCAAAGGGGGTGGGCAGGGGGTGGTCTCTCAGCGAGGGCTTAGAAAGCAGGATTGCGCATATATATATATATATATAGTGTGTTCATAAGCAAACACATAAGATTTAAATTAAGAATGTGGGGTTCCTCGGTAGCGTAATTGTGGTTCTGGCTTCAGATCGGTGCATGGGTTTACATGCGCGCACATATATATATGTGTATATATATGCATATATATATATATATATATATATAAATATATATATATATATATATATCACATATGAACATACATGCATACATGTGTACATACAGATGTACGCGTCCGCATTTGCATGCCCCGCTCTCAAGTCAGACTTTGAGGTCAACTTCACACGTACTCGAAGGTCCGATTCACTCTGAGGTGAGATTCGCTCTGAGGTCAGATTCACACATACTGCGAGGTCATGTTCACACACATATGTCCTGGTCCTTCGCCCCACTCTGAGGTCAGGTTCACAGATGCTCTGAGGTCCCGCTCCTTCATCCCACTCATCCCCCCCTCACGCACCACGTTGGACAGCCTCACCCCGCTCTTGTGGTCATGCTCCTTCATCCTTGGCGTGCCTTCTTGCTGCTGGTGTGCAAGTCTGCGCGCGCGCCATTCGCCGCCGTGTGCTTCTCCGCGCAGCCTTCTGCGAGTCCAGCGACAGCGATGGGGGGGGGCTATGCGCCGAGCGCCAGGCAGCAGCGCAGGCGAATAGGGCGCCGAGGGATCAGTTGCCGTCCACTGGGGAACAACAGCTGGTCTTTGGCAGATGGCTTGCCGTCCACTTGGTCAGATGAGTTTCACCCGCGTCGATGCTGGAACAGCAACTGGTCTTTGGCAGATGAGTTGACGCGGGTGGCGTCAAATTTACATTGGGGGGGGGGGCAGGGGTATGGGGGCAGTGGAGAAGGGGAGGGCAAACGTGGGGAGGGAAGGATCAGGGGAGCAAGAGGCGACATCGTTACACTTAGAGGTCGGCATTGGGGTCATTCTCATGCGAGGCTGCAATGTGCCAGCGTGTGTACGCGTGTGCGTGCACGCGCGCACGTGTATATATGTATGTATGTGTACATATGCGATCGTCTGTAGTACACATGTTTGTACGGCGTGCACATGTATATATATAATATGCAGACATGCATGCGTGTAGGTATGTATGCATGTACGCATGTGTACACATAATATGAGCACGTATGTATGCATCCATGTATGTATACAGTAATGCATGGATGTTCGTATGTGCATATATAGTATGTATACATGCTTGTATACATAAACGTATACGTGTACGTACGCATGCATGCATACATGTATGCAAACGTGCATGTGTGTATGCTTGCATACATGGCTTGCGTATGTATGATGCATGCATGCATGTAGCTATGTATATATGTATGGTTTGCTACATTTATGGATGTACAGCGACCATTACACTGATGCCATGTGTGTACACACATGTACGTGTGCA